GTGTGATGCAATGGTTACGGAGTCAGTAAGAGATATTACCCGAGTTCACTGTTTTTAAACAAGTTATAGAGAAGGAAAAAAAAAATTAAGTCGATGGCAACATTCATAACAAGGTGGTGGAAAGTGATTCATCTTCATCTAATGAAGATACTTCTTCTTACTCTAAGAAGTAATTGAAGGCCAATAGATTAAAATATTTCTATATGTGCATACTTGAAAGTACCCTTTAGTGTTTTTTGTTTTGATTGACCTAAACTTAGATTTCCTGTAATTAAATTCTTATAAAAACCAATTTTTATTTTTTTTAGAGTATGGGTTATTTGTTCCATTCAATGTTTTTTTTTTAAATATATATATATATATATATTGTGAGTTGTGTTTTAAGTACTGAGTATCTCATGGTGTTTTTTTATTGTTCTATTTGTGTTATGCACGGATGATTTTATTTTTTATTAATAGAATCTATTATCATATGATTAATATTATTAAAGTAAGAAATTTTTATATGACAAATTACTACATATAATTATGGCAACATTTATTTAAAATCTAATGAAATTAAATTTTTCTATACTATTAATAAATATAAAATTCTTTTGTGTACAACAATTGTATAATAAAATATGGTAATACAATTCTTAATATAATATATTATTTCCTATTTTTCCTATTCCTACCATAATTCTAGATTAAATTTTATATCAATTTGCCTTATGTAAGATATCATATGGAATCTATATTTCCTCTTCTGTTTTTCTTATTCTTTTTATTTTTCTAATGCCTAATAATTACCACGAATAATTATTAATAATTGTAAATTTATATTAGGCAATTATATTAATAATTAATTATTAAATCATGTATAATTTATTTTGTACTGTAGACACATTGATTTTAATAATTTTGATTTAAATTATTTAAGTTTCTATATTTTTCATATACAAAGCTATAATTATCAATTTATAATTGTAATACTTTCATAATAATATTGAATAAATATTAACTATATGTTTATATTTAATTATATATTATATTAAAATAATTATATATTAATCTAATATAGTGATGGTTAATACGGATAAAGCATTTATAAGCATAATCTAATATATAAAATATTCATTACTAACCATATATAATTTACGAAATAACTAAACTTATTGAAACTGAATTATTTATAATTTCACCTTTAATATAAATATATAATTTTAATATCTAAAATTAATAAGATCTTCCTTAATGTGAATCTATATATTTTAAATAATTTTGATTTAATAATATTATAACTTAATTATAGAAATAATACCTAATATATATATTGATAAAATCTTCCTATTTCATTTTTCCGCTCTAAGTTTTGTAGTCAATTAATTAAATATTCTATTGTTAAAATCGTGTACAAAAAATATTAATTAGGTAATAACATAATAGCATAATTGGTAATAATATGTATGGTATTTTATAATATAATTGGTAAAATAATTAATTAGTAATAAACATATTCAGTAAATTGCACGAATAAGCATATAGATTTTATATTTAAAAATTTACATTTTAAATGTATGTCTTTTGTTTAAATTGAAAGATTTAATGGGTTTACATTCATTTGAATATTCATTTACCCACACATGCATGTCCATAGGTGAAATAATAGTATTTAAAAGAATATTACAAAAATAATTATTAACTGAGAATAAAAACGACACAAAATTTATGCCAATTGAAATAGGAAATGACTATTAATAATCGATTGAAAATTAAAAATATTTTAAACTGACTAAAATGCACAAAATGAAATGAATATTAATAATTGATTAAAAATAAAAATAAAATATATTAATACTTGAATATTAATATTAATATATATATATATATATATATATATATATATATATATATATATATATATATATATAATTCCCCTACTTCATTATTTCACCCAAACTTTTTTACCACATTAATTAAATATTTTATTTGTCAAATAATTAATAAATCTTATTTGGTAAGCTAGAAATTAATTAAAACCTATTAATTGATAATATTGCATAATATGGTATTTATATTGAGTACCTATATCTATTTATATTGACTAATGAGTAATATGGCATTTTGACAATCATCATATGGTTACTCCATTTTAGTCTCCAACAAATATTCACCGTGATATTATTACCATAATAGTAATAATAATAATAATAATAATAATAATAATAATAATAATAATAATAATAATAATAATAATAATAATAATAATAATAATAATAATAATGTTTTCATTACGTACTTTACTTTCTATCAAACTCATTCTTCCAAAAGGTTGAACCCCAACCCTAAGAGCATTTGGGAAATGTAAATCATGGTGACTCAACTGAACATGAACCACAGAGACTAGATCGGTGCTCACTGCGCACAAGGAACCTCCCTCACTTTGAGAGGTTGCTCTGCTCCCACACTCAAGAAGCATTCCTTTTTATCAAACTCATTTTATTACTATTGGATACAAATATTATTTACAATTAAAATTTAATATGTATATAATAATAATAATAATAATAATAATAATAATAATAATAATAATAATAATAATAATAATAATAATAATGTTAATAATAATTATTTATGTAATTTACCGTTAAAATTTAAATCTATCTATACTATTAATAAATTAAAAATCCTCCTTTGTAAAATTTCCACTCAAACAATAGTAAATGTAAATTGAAAAAGAAAACTGATATTATTAATTAATTGAAAATATAAAAGCGTCTTAGTGGAATAGGAAACCCACCGGAAATTAGAGGAGGGAAGGCGGTGCAAGCCAGGAAAAAGACATGGGAAGGAATGTTTTTGAATGAGTGATCCCAAGACTGAAAGTTGGATCTCAAAAATTCATTTTCATGACATTCATATTGCATACTATTTTATTATAATTATTTCCAGCCTAATTATTTCCTAGCTAAAATTAATGTATCAAAATATTAATTATTTATTAACAGAATTGCCTAATATTTTTATTTTATATTTAAAAGGTGTAATATTATTAGTACAAAATATATTATCATTCTATTATGTGTAACTATTAGAATACTTTTATGGTGATATATATATATATATATATATATATATATATATATATATATATATATATATATATATATATATATATATATATATATAAAGGTATAATATTATTTGTACAAAATCAATTATACTTGCCATAATATTATACCTTATAATATTATAAAGTATAATTGATTTTGTACTAATAACATTATATACATTAGTACAAAATAAATTATGCATGTCTTCATAATTTATATTATTACTTAATAATTATTTATGGTAATTCTCATCACCTTCTTCTGTGTAATTTTTATGATAATTTTAGTATAATTGACTAATAATTATAATACATTGAAAATGAAATGAATATTAATAATTGACTGAAAATAAAAAAACTATCCATAATTGAATAAAATGGAAAAAGAAACTGTCAAATTCTTGAATTTTAATTTATGACAATAATATTACACAGTAGAATAAATCAAATCACAATTATATCATAAATGTTTCACATTTTCAAACAATAGAATGGAAATTAAAAATGAAACAAAAATATTTCAATAATAATATTCTACATCATCAAGTAAAGGAAAATTAAAAATGAAAAGGAAATATTTCAATAATAATATTCTACATTATCAATAGTAAAAATATCATTGCATTTATATTCTAATTAACTAATTGACTGAAAATATAAAAAAAAATTGATATTAATGATCCATAATTGACTAAAAAAACAAATGGTCAGATCATTGCATTATAATTAAAAATGAAGCATAAATTTAAATTAAACGAAAATATTTTAATAATAATATTCTACAACTTCAATAGTTAATGCATATTTTAAACAATAATAAAGGTAAATTAAAAATGGAACGGAAATATTTCAATAATAATATCTACATCATCAATTAAAAATGGAGCGAAAATTAAGTAAAAATATCAATGCATTTAATATTCTAATTGACTGAAAATAATAAAAAAAATAATTGGCTGAAAATGAATCTGATATTCTAATTGACTAAAAATAAAAAAAGAATAATTTGTTGAAAATGAATATGATATTACTAATTGACTAAAAAAATTAAGGGAACACTAATTGAGTGATATTCTACCATTATATATTTTCACCCGAGTAACATGTCCTGATGGACGGAAGATGTTAGCTCTAGACGAGGATGAACAAAATTGTGTTGGGACTACCAATGTCGTCTATAAAAGGTTTCAATAATGTGTAAATACAATCGGTGACATTATGTTTTTTTAAATGACAAAATTGCTATATATCTAGACAATAAAAAATATATCTTCCATATATGCAAATGAATTAAGATAGCAATTCATTGCTATAACTGAGTTGCTAGAGAACGAGCACATTTGTCAAATTTATAAAAAATACTAAATGATGATAAATAAAATCTTCAAAATTACAGCACCGCATGCGTACATCTACATATTAGCTATTACTTTGAGCAATTATTTGCTCAAAATCAAGCAATGATAACATCAAAACACATAAATGATTCGAATCACATCTTAAATTGCACTATATAATATTTGATGTTCTAATTTAAAAAATTATATAGCAGTCCAAATATTTTTAATATATTACAACAAATCTATTCCGTGCATCGCACGGGCGCAAATACTAGTAATAATAATAATAATAATAATAAATAAATAAATAAATAAATAAAAAGTAAATCCAAGTCCCTTGCTCTGCCGTTCAACTCATATTGTGGATCATGGTCCAAAAACGGCGCCGTTTCTTTAAGTAAAAAACGACTGCCGTTACATCTTAACGGAGCCCGTATTTTTGGTGTGTTAATTACAAAATGAAACTCTAGTGTATCTAAAATGAAACTGTCTCACATATTGTTTTTAGAGTTAATTACCGAAATGGTCACCTTGACTATAACGAAATTAACAATTTGGTCCTTGACTATTTTTTTTAACCAATTAAGTTCCTCAACTTTAAAAATCTTAAACAATTTGGTCATCCGTTTGTTTGACTGTTAGTCAACTGTTAACTTGGGACAAAATTGGTAATTTCGCTATAGTCAAGATACCATTTTGGTATTTAACTTTAAGGGTGGACAATTCGGTTTAGTTTTTCTCTAACCGAACCGAACTAGTTTGGTTCGGTAATATACTAAACAACCGAACGGTATTGGATTCATGTATACCGAAAGGTTCGATAAAAAATCGATCCGAATTGTTCGGTAAAAAATTGAATTGAACCGAATACCTGTTAATTTTTTTTAAATATAATAATAATATTTAATAATAATAATAATAAATAAATAAATAAATAAATAAAAAGTAAATCCAAGTCCCTTGCTCTGTCGTCCAGCTCATATTCTCAAAGGTATCTTTCGTAAATGTTTTATTTGATTTCTTTATGGTTTGTTATCAAAAGTTCTATATTATGTGTTATGGTGTTTACATAGTCCATATCCAAAGTCTAATATATAACAAAATAACAATCCAAAGTTCAAACGGTATTCGGTACGGTTCGATTTTTACGGAATAATTCAGTTCGGTTCGAGTTTTTACCGAACCGTTCGGTATACAAGAATCTATTACCGTTCAGTTGTTCGGTATATTACCGAATCTAACTAGTTTGGTACGGTTCGGTTTGAGAAAACTGAACTGAATTGCCCACCCTTAAAGTTAATTACCAAAATAGTCACTTGACTATAGCGAATTACCAATTTGGTCCCAAGTTAACGGTTGACTAACGGTCAAACAAACGGAGCACTAAATTGGTTAAGATTTTTAAAGTTGAGGGACTTAATTGGTCAAAAAAATAGTCAAGGACCAAATTGATAATTTCGCTATAGTCAAGGGGACATTTCGGTAATTAACTCATATTTTTGTATATATATTATCAAATGAAACTCTAATTGAATTGAAATGAAACTGTAGTTATGTTGAAATAAAACTGCAGTGTATCTAAAATGAAAATGAATAATAGTTTCACATATTTGAGTCTATATTGTCCAATGGAACTGAAGTTATATCGAAATGATACTATATATAGTTGTGTTGTAATGAAACTATAGTGTATATAAAATGAAACTGAATAAAAATTTCACATATTTGAGTGTATAATATCGAATGAAAGTGTAGTTATATCGAAATGAAACTGTAGTTGTGTTGAAATGAAACTGCAGTTTATATAAAATGAAACTGAATAACAGTTTCACATATTTGAGTATATATTGTCCAATGAAACTGTAGTTATATCGAAATGATACTGTAGTTGTGTTGTAATGAAACTATAGTGTATAGTATATAAAATGAATCTGAATAACAATTTCACATATTTGAGTGTATAATGTCGAATTAATTGTAGTTATATTGAAATGAAAATGTAGTTGAAATGAAACTGCATTGTATATAAAATGAAACCGAATATGTTATACAAACAAAACTATTTTACACAGTGATTGTAGCATATTTTAACAAACAAATACCTGGAGTATTCCGAGGTTATCGATCCACAGGGAAGTGGTTTTAAACACTAGCTAGTAATCTATTTTTGTGAAAATATTCCTAACGTCACAAGAGATAGCTCAATATAATCAAATAATAGTAAAATAAAGATAAGGCAAACAAACTTGGAAATTCAATAGAATGAAGATTGAGATTTCTGCGAGTCAAGTTTTTAATCATCACCTAATGTCAATCTAAGGTGAAGTAATTTATCTGGTCTTAAACCAGTTTGAAAGATTGCATACAAAGAAGAGAAATTACTTCCACAATTCCAACCCAAAATAATGTGAGTGAATATATTCATTCCCATGAAATAATCACTCAAACAATTCAAGAGCAAACAATTAAGATAAAACTCCGATCCTTAGCCAAAATGCCCTCTCTCAAGGTGCAATAGCCAAGTGCAATTGTGGATGCCCAAATTTATGCCCTAACTCCATCAAGACACAAATGTAGCAATGAAAAAAGTAATTTAGATCCTCAATTACAAGTATCAATAATATAAACCACAATTGCAACACAAGACATAAAACACAAACACATATATTTCATTAAGGAAATTAAGAACAATATAATACACATAGGTTCATAAATACTTTTCAACCCAAAAACCCCAAACTAAGCTTAGCCAATCATGGCTAACATTGTCTTCATTACAAAAGTATTAAAGAAGAAGCAAGAAACAATGGAAGTAAAAGAAAGGGAAGAGATTCTTCCAAATGAAGTTCTTCCAAACTTTTCCTCTGCCTTTCGTGTAACTTAAAGCTTCTAATATCCTATATTTTGCCTTTGGTGTGATTCTACTCTTCCAAGGTATGAGGATCCCTCCTTCTTCCTTTGGAGTGTGAAGAATCACCTCTCTTCACTCATTTTGTGTTCCCAAGCTGCCACCCATGTTAGGGTTTGAAGGAAATGGTGCTATATATAGTGGGGGTGGAGAATGGGGGTCAAAAAAGACAGAAAACATTCGCAGATTTGTGGCTCTCGACGCGTCGAGACCTTGGCTAGACGCGTCGAGAATCACCATGTGACGCAGCTCCGGTTTGTAGGCTGATTTTGACCCTTTTCCATTCTGATCTTGATAACTGTGTTTATGTCCATGCTTTTATCCCATATATTAGACCTAATTTAAGTGAATGATATTTTGGTTTTATGCAAAATGTGTCTTAATTCATTTGTTTATATCATTAGGTGCATAAATGTTGATTTGAAGACAATGGTATGCCTTTCGGGGCATTTTGAATGAATCTCGAGTCAATGAGAGCCAAAGTGAACTAAAGAGGTGGCTAAAATACTTCAAAGGGATCCAAAGAGTGGTGTCTTCAATGGTCTTAATCACTTGGCCAAACCAAGGCAAAAGTGGAGCAAAAGAGCAATAAGTAAAAAATTCTCGCACAGATTGGCGACAGTTCAGTGGATATTCCTAGGCTGAGATATGGTCTAAATACCGAACAATGGTCAATCTGTGCGAGAATTTTAACTTCTTGCTTTTTTGCTCCACTTTTGCCTTGGTTTGCCCAAGTGATCAAAACCATTGAAGACACCACTATTTGGCTCCCTTTGAACTATTTTAGCTACCTCCTTAGCTTCACCTTAGCTCTTATTAACTCGAGATTCATTCAAAATGCCCGAAAGGCATACGATTGTCTTCAAATCAAAAATTTATGCACCTAAGGATATAAATTAATGAATTAAGGCACATTTTGCATAATACCAAGTATCGTTCACTCAAAATAGGTCTATATATGGGGTAGAAATATGGACATAAACACACTTATCACATAGAACAACACAAACGGGTGCGTTTATTTTCATTAAAAGAAACGGCACCGTTTTGGACCATGGTCCACGGTGTAATTTGCCCTCCCCTCCACCGAGAAATCATAATACTTTGGCACATTAATTAAATTAAACCTAATCCAAGAAATTCCAACATCCCCCTTAAAAAATTAGGGGGTGTTTGGCAATTAGTTGATAGCTGATCTGAATCGAGGAGTTGGGTTACAAGTCTAGAGAGAGAGGGGAGGTAGACTTGTATGTTTAAAAAAAAAAAAAAAGAGATCTTTAAGCTCAAGAAATCTTGAACTTAAAAAAAAAAAAAAAAAAAAAAAAAAAAAAAAAAGGGAAAAGAGTCAAATAGGCCCTCGAACTTTAGCTAAAAAGTCAATTAAACTTTTTAAAGGTGCAATTACACTCATCAACAATTTATTTAAGTGCAATGAAGCCCAAAAACAAATTAATGACTTGCTATCACAGGTCATTAGGGTTCAGACCACCTTCCAGTGAACTTTCCGGCAAAAAAAAAAAAAAAAAAAAAAAAAAAAAAGCGACCCGCGAAATTTTCGATAAAAAAATGACTGGCGAAATTTTTGGCAAATCTGGGTCGGTTGCTGGTCACTTTTTTTTTGCCGGAAAATTTGCCGAAAGGTGGCCTGAACCCTAATGACCTGTGATAGCAGGTCATTAACTTGTTTTTGAGCTTCATTGCACCTAAATGAATTGTTGATGGGTGTAATTGCACCTTTAAAAAGTTTAGGGGCCTAATTGACTTTTACACTAAAGTTCAAGGGCGTATTTGACCCTTTTCCCAAAAAAAAATAAATCAACTTTAATGCAAAGTGCATAACGAAAATTTTTGAACCCCTTTTAAAATTATCTTGCACATTTTTAGCTCTTGAAAATTTTAGGTTTGCCCAATAATTAAGCTGGAATGTAAAGCTTGTTATATATATATATATATATATATATATATATATATATATATATATAAACACACACAAACACAGAATTTTTATATTGGTTCGACCAAACTCAGTCTACTCCACACTTCTCCTATAACTCCTAGGAGGTTTGTACTATGTTCGTTTAGTACAAGAATGAGCACTTGAGCTTTGACTACAAAACTAACCTCAAGTCTCTAGGTTTTTCACAAGTATACACCAGTTGTTACTCAGTCTTTTTCTACTTCTCCAAGTAGATAGTGTTGGTTGATCACACAAAGGTTGATGATTCTGCATAGTTGTAGAATTGGCTTGAGATCTTCTTGATGGTCGCCGAAGTCTTGAGCTTGATCTTGCTTATTAGCTCTTGAGATTTTCTCTCTCACTGGTCGTGGGTTTAAATACTTGTCACTACTACAGAATTCACATACAACGTCGGGTCTTTAACGTCGACTATATACATAGCCGACGTTAAAAACATTTAATTTTTTTTTTATAATTAAGTTTATAACGTCGGCTATTACAAAATAGCCGACGTTATAAATATAAAATAATAATATAAAAGAAATATATAACCTACGACGTCGGCTGTATTAATAGCCGACGTCGTAGGTTGTTTATTATTTTTTTTTTAAAAAGTTATTTATATATAACGTCGGCTAAGTCAGTTTAGCCGACATTATATACTAAAAAAAAAAAAGAGAGAGAAATAAATATAATACGACGTCGGCTAACTATCTAGCCGACGTCGTATTGTTTTTAATTTTTATTTTTATTTTTTTACTTTATAACGTCGGCTAATCAATTTAGCCGACGTTATAAAGTTTTAAAAAAAGCCAGATCTGAGAACTAATTACCAGACGACGCACCATACCACCACCGCATCCATCTCTGATTCTCCCATCTCCTCCCCACCGCACTTCTTCCCACCGCTTCACCGTCTCAGACCGCCGACGTCCTCCGCGCCGACGTCGTCCACCCAGCTGCTTCTCGCTGACGTCCACATCGCCCACCCAGCTGCGCTGCATCGTCCACATCGCCGACGCCACAGTCCTTCCCCGCCGCTGCAACTTCAACCCCGCCGCCGCCGCTTCACCCTCTCCTCCCGCCGCCACACCGTCTCAACCGGCCCTGCTCTCCGCCGCTGCCGCCAGCCATCGTCGGAGCCATAATCGCCGGTAAGTTTTGTAATTTTTTTTAATTATTATTAATTAATTTCGAATTTTATTAAATTTATTTGCAATTTAGGGTTTGTTTGTATATATTTGTAAGTTTTATTGATTAATTTCGAATTTTAGTCAATTTATTTGCATTTTAGGGTTTATTTGTATATATTTGTAATTTTTATTGATTAATTTTCAATTTTAGTCAATTTATTTGCATTTTAGGGTTTATTTGTATATATTTGTAATTTTTATTGATTAATTTCGAATTTTAGTCAATTTATTTGCATTTTAGGGTTTATTTGTATATATTTGTAAATATTATTGATTAATTTCGATTTTAGACAATTTATTTGCATTTTAGGATTTATTTGTATATATTTGTAAATATTATTGATTAATTTCGAATTTTAGTCAATTTATTTGTATTTTAGGGTTTATTTGTATATATTTGTAAATATTATTGATTAATTTCAAATTTTAGTCAATTTATTTGCATTTTAGGGTTTATTTGTATATATTTGTAAATATTATTGATTAATTTCGAATTTTAGTCAATTTATTTGCATTCTAGGGTTTATTTGTATATATTTGTAATTATTATTGATTAATTTCGAATTTTAGTCAATTTATTTGCATTTTAGGGTTTATTTGTATATATTTGTAATTACTAGTCTATTTTCACCACAACAATTATTTTAGATAGAGTTGAATCAATGTTAACAAAAGTTTAATTGGAATTAATATTATCCTAGATTGACTTGTGATGGATAAAAGTTGGATGAAAGCTTCTCTGTTGAGTACGGAATATGAAGCCGGAGTTAGAGAACGGACAAGGTATATCAACGTCACCATGCAAGCTGTTCCTTTGAGATACCGCAGGAGGCGTTTAGCGGCTTGCCAGTGTAACACCGAGGGTGCATGCATGAACTGCAAGAGTCTGTTGACCACAAATGCCACATCCGGACGTGTGATCACCAAATACTGCATTAGACCAAGCAAGCGACGAAACTGAGTGGCATCAGTTGCAACATCAGACGATCGCAGCGGTACCAACTTCTCTGAAGCAGCCAGCAGTGTTGAAACATCCTTTGCACCATCCATTTTGAACTGCATCAGTATGACAATAATATACTGACTCTGTGATAGAAAAATTCCACCACCAGTAGGAATGACCTCCACACCCAAGAAATGATGTAAAGTACCAAGGTCTTTAAGGGCAAATTGTGCTAACAAGGACCCCACAAACGATCAAGCCAGGTAGAGTTATTTCCTGTCAACAAAATGTCATCTACATACACTAAAAAGTAGACAATTACACCTTTGGCTGAATAAATAAAAAGTGAAGCATCAGCTTGTGACTTAATAAACCCAGACTGCTGCAAGAACAATGAGAGTTCCTGGGTACCAGGCTCGCGGGGCCTGTTTAAGGCCATATAGCTTTTGTTAACTTGTAGACATGGGACGGATACAGTGGATCAACGTAACCGGGTGGTTGGTCCATATAGATTTCCTCATGTAATGTGTCGTGCAAAAACACGTTGTTGATGTCCAATTGACGCAAACCCTAGTGGTTACTCAATGCAATAGTCAGAACCAACCTGATTGTGACATGTTTCTGATGGGTAAATACGTACAGAAGAATAATCCGTATGACCGGTCCGTCAAGAAGTCATCCGACCGGTCCGTTACGGTAATAATCCCGACAAGACTAAATCACTTGTGGTCAACCGCACCGTTCGTACCGATAGGCCTCGTGACAAGAGAATATGCTCTCGGATCACTCTTGGAATCGCCCCGACGGAAAATCACCCGACCGGTCTACCGTAGGGTGACCGGTCGGCCTGCAAGATGACGTAGCCTGCAGAGCCGAAAACGTAACTTGCACGACAAGTCTTGGGATGCAACTTGCACTTGCAGGGCGGTGATGGACAGCTTGCAGGTAGGACGGCTTCGTCTCATCGATCAGTCAACCTACGCATAGCTGCAGAGCGACCGCCTGACTGAGCCAACGAGAAGACGCCACGTCGATCCACTTGCAGCAGGCGCATTAAATGCGTAGACCGACTCAAACAGTATAAATAGGAGGATCTCCTCCTCACATCTCATCTTCATCTCATTGTAACTACTACTTACTATTTGTACCCTTCACCCTGTAATAGCAACCCGCTTGTAACCTATTACTTACTAGTTGAAATACTACTTAGCCTCGGACCGCTCAGTCGTCGCCCGGTAGTCCGACCGACCGACTGACCGGCTGACCATCGAGCGCTTCATTCTACTCGTTCACAAACATACGTATTCGTAGTGTAACCGTAACCCCCGGTTCAATTTACGCTATCATTGGCGTCGTTCGTGGGGACCTGAACGAGTCACTCTCTGTCCCGTTACCATTTTTCCACATCTACCTCGCTTGATCGAAATGGCAAACAGCAGGAGGAGCCGGAGCCAAAGTCACATGCAGAGGGAAGGATCAACCCGCCAGGTTGGACATCACCCCAACAATACGGCTGAAACACTCCTCGAAGATGATCTACGAAGACAGTTGGACCGATCACGAGGACTGATGAACGAGCTCACCTCCAACCACGGAGGACATGATACACAACCCACCCATCCGGTCGGACAGAATACCGACCAGCAGCCTGGATGCATGACCGTCCACCCGACATCCCAGTACCTTGGAATGGCGTAGTCAATCCCAATTTCACGATGCCAATAACGTACACCATGTTACCTCCGACAGGTCAGATGTTGCCACCAACGCCGGGTGCACTTGGAGAAAACCCCATACAAGGAACATCGCAACAAGGATTCACTAAGGTTTACCAACCGTGGTCTGGAACGCCGGGGTACTACGTTATGGCGCCAACCCCGCAAATGATGATGACCCCCCAAATTCCAGTCGTGGAGCGGCATCAACCAGTGGCTCAACCACCCCAAGAACGCCAGCACCCGCAACCCCAAGATCGTGACCCTGAAGAAATCCAGTCAGCAGATCGGTCGCGAAGATCTAACCAAGAAGAGCGCCAAGATAATCATCACCCCGAAAAAGTGTAAGATCTCGGTTGGGACCCCAAGACGACCAGGACTGCTCAAGACAAAAATCTCGAAGGACTACGGAGACAGAAGGAAGCATCACCGGAAGTGCCCCGCGATTCAAAGGAGGCAGGACTGGCCGGTTAGATGGTCGGGTCGGTGACCGTCCGGTCAGAAGAGAAAGACACCCAAGCAGAGAAGATAGTCCTCGCCGTCAGCTAGCTAGAATGCAAGAGAGGATAGACCATCTACAGCAAGAACTCCGTGAAAAAAACGGTGCAAGTAAAGAGCCACCTACTCCGCTAATCTCGACTCCTTTCACCGACGACGTCATGAACACGCATTACCCGCAAGATCTCAGGATCCCGATGATGCGAACATACATCGGGCGGTCCGACCCTCAAGAACACATCGATATGTATTACGGCAACATGTTGATGTTAGGAGTAAACGACGCAGTCATATGCAGGGCCTTCTTCGCCACTTTGGCTGGAAAAGCGGCCGAGTGGTTTAGAAAGTTGGAGCCACGGTCGGTTGGAAATTTCAGCCAGCTAGCTGACAAATTTGTGAGACGGTTCGCAGTCAACAGATTGAAAAAGAAGCCATACACCTATCTTAATCCAGTCAAGCAGGACGTGGGAGAAGCCTTGTCCGTTTTCTTACAAAGGTGGGATCGTGAGGTCGAACAGGTAGAGCCAATGGAAGATCAGGCGGCAATCCACGCCTTCCTGACGTCACTTCGCTCCGGGGCACTCTATTACGACCTCATTGTTAATCCCCCCAAGACCTACGAGGAAGCAATCACCCGGGCCAGACACCATGCCGATGCCACAGAGGCTAACTTGGCCAAGAGACGGGACGAGCAGCCGGTCAGTTGGGATAGAAATCATGACCCAAGGAGGGACCGACAACGTTTCAAGCAACGTGGTCGACCGGAAGACGGACCGCGATTCACTCCATTAACCAGACCCCTAGTGGAAGTTTTACAGTATGCCGAACAGTGCAACTTGGTCCACCCGCCCGAACCAATACCTGAAAGAACAAACAAGAACAAGTATTGTGCTTTCCACAAGACCAAAGGCCATGATACGGCGGAATGCATAGCCCTACGCCTGGTGATTGAACAACTCATTCAGAATGGAGAGTTGGATCAGTTCGTGAAAAAGAACGAACGAGACAAGGAGAAGTTCAAGAAAAACGTGTGGAAAAGGAACCCCAAAGAGCAATCTAAGGCACCCGGTCTGCATGGGTCATCTGACGATAAGGCGACCGGAAAGAAACCTGTATTCAACGTCATCTACGGAGGCCCAGAAGGCGGAGCCTCTTCACGTCAAAGGAAGCAATGGGCAAGAAATTTGTATGTCGGGTGGGTCCACTCGGAACCCCGGGAGAAAAAGAAGCGTGTAGAGCCGATTTTCTTCACAGATGAAGATCTTCCCATGCATGGGGAAGCCCATAGTGACTCACTTGTCGTCACGATGGACATTAATGGGACGGATGTCCAGCGAGTGCTAGTTGACACAGGAAGTTCGGTGAACATCTTGTACTTCGACGTTTTCACCCGGTTGGGTCTGACGACCGACCAGCTGACTCCTATTCGGACCCCGCTATCAGGTTTCACCGGCAACTCCATAGAGGCAGAGGGAGTCATCAGTTTGAATGTGGAATTAGGCATCCAGCCGAATATCTTGAGGACTATCATGGAATTTGTGGTGGTCAAATTAAAATGTGTTCACAACGCAATACTCGGTCGACCGGGTATCTCCCAAGCGGCCGCCGTCATATCAATGAACCACCTATGCATGAAATTCCACACGCCAAACGGGATCGGAGTGGTTCGTGGAGACCAGCGAGCTTCCCGTCAGTGCTACGTACAATCAGTCAAGCAGTCCGACCGCGAAGATGCTAGGATCCATACCATATCCCAGCAAGTTGATGGAGGTGAAGAAAGGGAAAGGCCACAACCAGCTTCAGAGATAGAAGAGATCACGCTTGACCCTAGCCGGCCGGAGCGAGTAGTCGGGATTGGCTGGAACCTACCGGTCGGTCTACGGGAAGACATCATCAGAGTATTGCAGAAATTCAAAAATGTCTTTGCTTGGGGACCTGAGGACATGCCTGGTGTCGACCGTCAGTCATATGTCATCGGTTATCCATCCAACCAGGCTTCAAGCCAGTCAAGCAGAGGAAGAGACATCTATCAAGTGAAAGAAGAGAATTCGTGAAGAAGGAAACCGCCACTCTCCTGTCGGTAGGACACATCCGAGAAGTGTTCTACCCGGAGTGGCTAGCAAATGTAGTACTCGCGCCCAAACCCCCTACGTGGAGGATGTGCGTAGACTACACTGATCTAAACAAAGCTTGCCCGAAGGATCCATACCCACTACCAAATCCCGACCAGATGGTTGACGAAACGGCCGGGTGTGAGCTGCTAAGTTTCATGGACGCCTTCAAAGGGTACCATCAAATTTTCATGTGCAAGGAAGATGAAGAGAAGACTGCGTTCATAACCCCTGACGGAGTGTACTGCTACGTGGTAATGGCTTTCGGTCTACGAAACTCTGGGGCCACCTACCAACGAATGGTAAACAAGTTGTTCAAGGGGTTGCTCGGGAGTCGGGTCGACCATGGAGGCATACGTTGACGATATGCTCGTCAAGAGCCGATCGAAGGAGAGCCACCCAGCCGACCTGACTCAGGCATTCAAAGTGATGGAGACTTTCAACTTACGCCTGAACCCAAGTAAGTGTGCTTTCACCGTCCAGACAGGAAAATTTTTGTGGTTCATGATGACAGAGCGAGGGATCGAGCCAAACCCTGAGAAGGTCAGAGCCATAATAGAGATGCAACCCCCCCGGTAGGTCAAAGATGTTCAACGACTGACCGGTCGGCTAGCAGCACTCAGTCGTTTCTTGTCTAAATCAGCTAAGAAATCTCTACCTTTCTTCCAAATATTGAAGAAATCCAATGGATTCTAATGGACACCAGCATGTCAGTCGGCCTTCGAAGACCTGAAGGCCTACTTGAGCTCCTCACCAGTCCTTTCCAAGCCAGAGAAAGAAGAAACTTTGTTCATCTACTTGGCGGTGTCCGATCGGGCGGTCAGCTCGGTGCTCGTTCGAGAGGAAACCAAAGGAGTCCAAAAACCAATCTATTACGTCAGCAAAGCCCTCCAGGGAGCGGAATTGAGATACACCAAGTTTGAGAAGACCGCATTTGCACTCTGGGTGACCGCCAGGAAACTTGCAGCCTACTTCCAAGCTCACCCGATGGTAGTTTTGACCGACCAGCAGCTCGGAACGATTCTCAGGAACCCAACATCGTCGGGGCGATTGATCAAGTGGGCTATGATGCTTACCCAGTTTGCGATTGAGTACAAGCCGCGCCCTGTAATCAAAGCACAAGCATTGGTCGATTTCATCGTAGAGTGCACTGCGCGAGACCCGGAGCCAGACCGACCGACTGCTCTGGAGGAACCATGGTGGGAAGCCTCTACTGATGGGTCGTCCAGCAAGAAAGGATGCGGAGGAGGAATAGTACTCACTTCCCCTGAAGGTTTCAAAGTTTACCAGGCTTTGATTTTCAAATTTCGACCCACCAACAACGAAGCCGAATATGAAGCACTCATAGGCGGACTACGGTTGGCCAGACAGATAAAGGCCGACCGACTGAGGATACGATCAGATTCCCGATTGATAATCGGTCAACTTTCCAACACGATCGAAGCAAAGGAGGATCGGATGATACAGTACAAGGACATTGCGCTGGAATTGTTACAGCAGTTTGGCGAGTACGAGTTGATCCAAGTGCCCAGAACAGAGAATACGGACGCCGACATGCTGTCTAAATTGACCCAGGAAGCCCCAGAGTACGTGTCCAAAATCGCACGGATTGAAGAAATCGGGTCGCCAAGCATTGACATCATTGAGGTCCGACCGGTCGAAATAAGCGAGCCAGATTGGATGTACGACCTGAAGAACTACATAGCCAATGGCGCCCTACCGGATGACGCCACCAGGTCAAAGAAGGTCAAACTGAGAGCACCGCGTTTCCAGTTGGTCGACGGGAAGCTCTACAAACGGTCGTACGGCGGACCACTCTTAAGGTGTCTGACCAATGACGAAGCTAAAATTGTGATTGAAGAAGTTCATGATGGAATTTGTTCCGCCCACCAGGGACCAAGGACGTTGGCGCAAAAAATCATCTTGCTAGGGTACTATTGGCCTTCAATCAACTTGGATTGCGAGCAGTACGTTCGTCGATGCGCTACTTGTCAAGAATTCCACAAGTTGCCTGGCCGACCGGCCACTTATTACCAACCGATCAGCGAGGTAATACCCTTTGCGAGATGGGGAGTGGACCTGATCGGAGCGTTCCCAATGACGGCCGGCCGGAAGAAATATGTGATCGTAGCAATCGACTACTTCACCAAGTGGGTGGAGGCGGAAGCACTTGCAACCATCACCTCACAGCAATGCCAAAGGTTTCTCTGAAAAGGTGATCACTCGGTTTGGAGTTCCAGTCTACTTGATCACTGACAATGGGACGCAATTTGATAGCCAGCCATTCAAAAACTTTATGGCTCGGCTGGGCATCAGACACACTCGAGCAGCTGTAGCATACCCGCAAGCCAACGGACAGGTGGAAAACACCAATCGGACGATCCTTGATGGACTAAAGAAGAAGTTGCAAAGCGCGGGTCGAGGCTGGGTGGAGGAACTCCCGTATGTTCTCTGGACCTACAGAACCACTCCTCGACGGGCGACCAACGAAACACCTTTTTCGTTGGCCTACGGATTTGAAGCGAGAGTGCCAATTGAAGCATGGCTCCCTACTGCTCGGGAAAAGAACTATCAGCCAGAAGAAAATGATGAGTTGCAAGGTGCAGAGCTAAATTTTATTGATGAGAAGAGAGATATGGCGGCACGGAGGATGGTTGAGTACCAGAAGGCCGCCAAAACCTACCATGACGGTCGGGTGAAACCACGCTATTTCCAAGTCGGTGACTTGATACTCCGGCGAAGGGAAGCAAGTAGACCTACCGACCATTGAAAGTTTGCTAAGAAATGGGAAGGGCCCTACAAAGTCTCGGCAGTTGTCTGACCTGGCACTTACAAATTAGAGACCCTGTCCGGTCGACTGATCGACCGAGTATGGAACTCCGAGCACCTCATGAAATTTTACAAGTACTGTAGGTTGACTACTATATTACATGTACTCGGATGATTAAATAGAAATTTTCCCTCTTAATGTCGTTGTATCATTTCCGACCTCGCTCCGAATATTTCAAGTGGCTCCTTAAAAGAAAAGAAAAAAAAAAAAAAAAAAACGGCCGGTCGGCCAGCTTGTTTTCCTGGCCCTGTCGTTTGAGGTTTTGCCCGGTCGAGTTATCCCGGCCCTACCTGCACGATTTTGTCCGGTTGAGTTTGTGATTAAGTTCACTCGTTCTCCCGGCCCTATCTTTTGAGGTTTTGTCCGGTCGAGTTATCCCGGCCCTACCTGCACGATTTTGTCCGGTTGAGTTTGTGATTAAGTTCATTTGTTCTCCCGGCCCTGTCGTTTGAGGTTTTGCCCGGTCGCATCATCCCGGCCCTACCTGCACGACTTTGTCCGTTTGAGTTTGTGATTAAGTTCACTTGTTTCCCCGACTCTTTCGTTTGAGGTTTGGCCCGGTAGAATTACCCTGGCCTTACCTGCACGATTTTGTCCGGTTGATTTCTTCAGACCGACCAGTACGGTCACACTCGACCGGTCGGTCTGACATGTCTAATTGTCACCCGCTTTTTAGTTTACGAGAAGAAGCCTTACCCATCGGGTGAAGGGAAGACGGTTAGTCGGATCAACACATGAAGAACAGAAAATCACAAGTAGTCAATACAGAGCAAAGGAAATAGATAACACATAAGCAAATGAGGCAAAGTCTGACTGACACAAGAAGGGGGTCGGCCTCCCGAGAACGAGGAGTCAAAAGTCTAGGAAAGGTGAAAGACAACTACAGATCACATCACATCACAATCAAGAACCTTGATTCCGAGAAGCAGCAGTAGAGGGGTCGGTCGGTGGATCAATAAATGGCTTGGGATTCGCTGGTGGCCCTACTTCTCTAGGTAGCCCGGTACGGACCTGTTCCCAATCCTCTGGGAGAAGTGTTTCTTCAAGAGCTTGGTGCAAAGACACCTGCATGGCATGCTTCCCCCTTTGGTAACCCCAGGCGGTCGCCCTGCGCACTACCTGCAGACCGACGGGATCACGGCACAATGCTTGAAGGAAGGAGACAACGGCGTCTTCGGACGAACAAAGTGACTTGGCCAGGTCAGGTAGCTCGGCCGGTTGGGAAAGGTAAAGCTCAGCAGCTTTCTGGAAAAAACGGGGCAAAACCAGGATACTGATTCCAGTAGTCCACTTGAGCCTCTAGGCTTCTAACCCTCTCCTCAAGTTTATACACTTCTGAGTCACGCCCCATGGCTTCACATTTAGCCGGGATGAACAACTCAGCAGTTCCACTAGCAGCCTGACATGTGCACAAATCAATAAGGAATGTAACATTGACAGACGTAGAAAAGAGAAAGCAAGGAAAGAGCGGGAAGCGGCTGGTAGCCGGAGTAAGTACCAGGGCCAAGTGATGGGCAACTTGCCCTCCCAGGGAGTCGGTCGACCCATTAGTTAGGAGCTCAGGTGGAGGATTCAGTTGGAACAACAGATTGAACATCTCCGGCAGATTGGTCGTGCCTTGGGTAAGTGCTTTAGCAAGTAGAGGCGCCTCCTCGCATACCCGGGCTCTTTTAGGGTCAGCAGCTTGGACTTCCGAGAATGACTCGACCTCCGCCACACCTAGAGGACGTTTCCCGGCTGATTTAGTCTGAATCGGAGCAGCAGAGGAGTCAGACGGATGGGGGCCGACAGGTGTTCGGCCGGCAGTATGGTGATCCCCGGAAGAGGCGGTCGTCCTCTTCAGAACAACCTTCAGACTCCGCTTGTTTTTGCTACCTGGCGAAGCCTTCCTAGCAGCATCTAACATCTTTTCTAGATTATCGTCGAAAGCCATTGCTGATTGACCTGCGCAACAAGAGACAAAACAAACAAAAGAATTAGAAGTGAAAAGGAAACAGGTCGCGATATTTCGACCGACCGACCCACCACTTGTGACAGAGCGACCCAATGGCTCGTAGGTCGGGCGAGGAAGCTGATCCGCTTTCAAGGCACCCGAAGAGTGATAAACCTCCCA